ATTGCTTGCTGGTATAAATAATAATAGATCATACAAATCTTTCCAAGATTCCTACATTTGGTGGCAGTAGAACCCCAGAGGTATCTCTGGAGAGGGCATAAAATCCCCACAAATGGTGGTGCCATTGACAGAGTTATTAAATCAATAAATGGGGATAGAAAAAGCTGCTTAAGACAGTACCTCAACTATTTGCAGAGGCAACTAATCCTTCTTTTCAGAAAATTGTTTTTCTCTTGATGTCATTCCTTTTTAATATATAGACATGACTAATCTTTTATCTGCTAACTCAATATGGCATTTATCTTATTTACCAATTTATCCTTTTTTTGTGTGGCATTTTATTTCTGGGGGTATTCTATTACTACGGCTTCTTCGTGCTCAACTTAAAAATTCAGAAATGCTGAAATCATTAATGAAATACTCTTATTGATACATCTTGTTTGCATCTAAAGCTTTTGAAACAGAGTGAAACTTAAGTAACTTATTATTTTCTGGGGTGGAAGGGGAAGATTAAAATCTTAATGTCAACAGATTAATAGTGGACTTTCCATATGAGAATACCTGTAACATTTTTCTTGCGTTTACAGGATAGATTATAAACACATGCTCTGCTCTTGAAAAGTTCATTGCAGTTGCATCTATATTCTCTTCCAAAAATAGGTTCAGATGATCATCAGTAACGCATCCAAGATGACTATTGAGAAGAAATCAATCTATGCAACTCATTTCAATCCCTTCTATATACCTGTCCCTATTAGACTGATGACAATATCAAGATTTTCTGATTACATACAATATTTTTCCACTGAACATGTTCACTGTACCTTGGCCAGTAATCGCCATGCTGAGAAAATTTTTAATGTTGCATTTACCATTATTATTTAGTGCATGGCCTTAATTATCTATCATTTTTCTTCCTGCTTCACTATATGTTTTTAACTGCTGCAGCAAATGATAAAATTTTACTCACATTAACAGGTTAATTTAAGTAACCAAAGTTCAAAGTTCATCATTCTCAATTAATTTTTTTGCTCATTTCACACAGTCCATGATGGGTAGGAAAGGGACCCTACTGAAAACACTATCCAGCCACGTAAATAAAAATCAGTGTTGTAACTATATGGCATGGTTGAATTGGATGCTTCAAATCAAGGTGTCATCCTTTGCTCGGATTAAACTCTGGAAGTGTGATGAAATACGCTATTTGCTCACAAATCCCCAAGTCAGGAGTTCCCCCAGGTTACAACCAGGACCTAAGAGGAATTGCTTCATATGGAGAGGCAAAAAGGAATCAGATCTCTTAGGTTCTATATTCCCACTTCTCAGATCTCCTCAGTTCTTCACTCCCTCCTCAGTTATTCATCTTAGTCTTCCTTTGCCTCTCTCCTCTTGCTCTTTATTTTCCAACCTGCCGGGACAAGCTTAGGAAAAATCTTCAGAATTACATCTGAAGTTCCTCCCAAGCAACATGAACTAAGTTTTAAAATAGAGTGGCCAAATTTAAGGAACTATTTTTACAACTAATAAAAGACGTATCAGATACTTTTTTTCCATATTTCAAATACCTGCAACTATGTGTACATGAGAAACAGACTTTTAGTTTCTTAACATTAGCAAAATGAGGCAGACACCCAACGTGTCTGCCCAATGGGCCGGGGGGGAAAGGCAGTCTAGAGGACCAACCGGCAAAATGATTGGAACAGTGACTTATAATAAAAGCCAGACAACTTTAATAGGTAGCAATGGCTGCACCACCTATAATATAGCCTGTAAAGGTCTTTGAAGATTGAGTGAGCCTGCACACATTTACAGCAGCTGAGAATTTGACATATATATATTACCAGAGTAAAATAAATCACATCTTTTTGTTATAGTACTAAACATGAGAATATATATATTTTATATATATATATTCTTTAAAAAGTTGCATTCACAAATAAACATTGTTTTCCTCTTCCTTTAAAATTCTGTACTGTGGCCTTCATTCAATGCTAGCTATAACATTCACCTTTTTTGGAAGGATTACTTATTTAATATTGTCAGCCTCCGAATTTGTAGATATACATTCTTAAGTTATTTGCAGATGATCATATCAAGAAAAAAAAAAAACCCAGAGGCAATATGTGCATAGGGTGAAATTAACATAATAAAGCAACTTTACAGATAATATTATGACCTGAAAACAGGTACCACTTACAAAAAAGGTCATAAACATATTTATATATACACACATAAAAGAAAACATATTGCATATAGCATAATGTAATGTGTGCAGCACAGCACTTTAGTTAAAAATGAACTTTTACCAACTACAACACCCCCAAGATTATTGAATCTTTGTACAAATTAGCATGAGCATTTGTCTCCTGCTGTGGCCTCCTTTGGAAATATATTTTTTATTTCGGCTTCCAACAACAACAACAAAAAAACATTGTTTTATTAAAGTCAGATGTCTACCATAGTGCACCAAATATTTTATGCATTTGAAAGTTATCGGGGCAATTTTTATTCACAACTATTTCCAGTTTATCTAGTATTTTGCATCCAGCACATTATCAACAGATTCACTTAAAACACACACACCTCAAAGTTAAGAGGAAAAGCAACGGCCAAGCTAGGACTTTTCTGGAAGGGAGTACAGTAAGCTTTGCACATCCTCATTTTTCTCTATATAATACTCTTCTGAAGCTCAACAGGTGACAGCACATCTGCTTTGCATAACACATCCTCATAAAAATCACAACAGAAACAGCATTTGTAAGATCTTTACAACACCCGTAACTATCATAGGATCCACGTAAGTCAGTAACCACTTAAACAGCACTTCAGTGCTTCCTATAAAAACATACTTGTGGAATTACAGCCATACTTTCTCAAAATAACTGTTTCTTCTTCTAAACATGGATGGACTTCATCAGCAAAGTGTTTACTGCAGTATAAATGAAGAGAATTACAGAAATGAGGGCCTACATTCCAATGCTGCGGACAGTGTGTATGTAGAATGTATTTTTGAAGCTCTTCTGCATCAATTTTCTCACACTAATGCTACAAAGAGTCCATACTCTACTCATACATGTGAGAACTCAACATCTGGAAAAAAAAAAAAAAAAAAAAAACACCACTACCAAACCACCACAACCAGCTAGCTCAACCTGCAAGCCTGTGCCACCTCTCTGTACTATAAACACCACATTTGGTTATCTGTTTGGCTGGTCTTTTTCCCACCACATCCTAACAAGTTTGACTCTCCACTAGACAATTTCTCTCTCTTTTAGAGGGCAGCACACTTACCCAATAAACCGCATAAGGGAAGCACACACTCATATCAATTTAGGTGACCCGCAGGAATGTTTGTTCTAAAGCACGGCACCTACTGCTTTAAGCCTCTGTGTGGCAATTTCTGTGACAAATAACTTGTTCTTTCCAAAATAAAAAAAAAGTTAGTCAGCCATTTTCATTTACTTTTATCTAGTTTTATTTATTTGTTGACAATAAATCATATTTTGTCATTAAAAAACACTGCTAATATTAAAATCTGCCCCTAATGTTTATTCAGAATTGCTAACTGGTTTTAGTTAGTCACTGTTTATGCCACAAAATTAAACAGCCAATTTCTATCATGTCAGGAAATTTGTATCAACAAACCTCATAAAATGCAAATGGGCTGACAGTTCACAAGCAAAACAGCATACCTGCTTGCCCTCTCTTGTTTATTTAAAGACAAGGTACTTGTCCTCTCTTGTTTATTTAAAGAGCTATCATATTATTTTAGTGAAGAATAACCATAAAATCAACTTTTTTTTTTTTTTTGTAGGAGTGAAGAGAAGCAAGATCTTATATTTTACAGATCTAGCAGTACGCTGCTGCCTTTCCCCCTATCTCTGGTAGTACAGTTTGGTACTGCATACAGGGATCCAGCACACACACCTATAAGCCCAACTTCACTACCAGCTCTGTTGCCTGTACCTGGCTGCCAACACATCCAACCAAAAGATAAGTCAAATGGGACAAAATATTTCTCCACAACTACTGGGTAAAAGCTCATCTCAAACATCAGATCTACTGTGTAGAGATTCTGAAGTGTCTCAGTATATTTGTGAGTCAGGAGTAAATTTGTGTTGTGTTATCCCGTATATTAGAAAATGATAGGAAGAATACCCTGATCCTGAATAGAGTGCAAGAAAATCAAGAAAAAATATTAGACAAAAAGAAGAATTTTAACTACTGGTTAGGATTCTACATATAAACATTCTCCTCTCTAGCCTGGAGGTTAAATAATGAAGACTCTACCATTTATCATAGCACCACAGTTATAATCTGGTTTCCACGTGGATACCAAGAAGATTAGAGTTCTCTACCCAGTCCCATTAGTATTCAGATTCATTTCTTTTCTTCCAAGGGTTTACATTCAACATTAAAAAAAAAGCTTCCTATTTTTATTTTATTATAAAGCCTCCCATTTCAAAACACTTGATTGTTTCATCTAAGGTTTTTGCAGCTATGCCTTTCTTTTTTTGTGTACATAATTTATATTCACTATACATAAACATAAAACAAACACAGAACTGTTATGATTGACATAACATTTAGAGATAGATCCTTAACACTTTTTTTCTTCTCTTCTGTGAAATCATAGTAATTTATATCCACCTCTTTCATTCTTTACTTTACAAAATTCCTCACAATAATTTGTATGCCACTTATTGCACACCTGCAATAATTTTGTTTTTCTTTTAGCAAAATTTAAGGTGGACAAAGGAAAAATTTTTGAAGAATTAGTACACAACTTGAAAAACAATTAATAATAATAATAATAAAATCTTTAACACATCTCTCTTTGAAACCCACAATACATTCTGTTTTTCTTGCAGCTCTACATTGTGTGCATAGATATGGTAACAATTTCATACCAGACAAAATTCATCTCAGCTGCATGCAAAAAAAAAAGTCTTTATGTAAATGCTAGCCTATAAAAGATCTGAAAGTAAATGAGTACTCACTTGTTTAGTCTTTGTTTTTGTAATGGTGTCCGAAATGGGTTTCTTCCTCTCTTTAACAGCTGTTTTAGAAAACAGTTCTTCAAACTCATGATAATCTATGGAAGGTTCTTCAATTTTTTCCCACACAAGTGAAGCACTAGAATCTCTAAAGTTAAGCAAAAGACCTATGTAGGGCAATGTCAAACTAAATAGTCAAACGGTGGAATAAAGAAAATAAGACAGCAGCAATTTACAAGTGGTTGCCTAACTTCTACTAGCAGTATTCCGATAAAACTACTGATTTTCTCCCATACTTTCTTGCTTGCTTGTTCACTTATACTAATTATCAGAATCATTTATAGTCACCCCCTTTACACAGAGGAATATAAGCAGGTTAGTCTACAAAACATACAACATGCACACAAAAAGGCGTAGAAATGGACAGTTATCTGCAGAGCACTCATGTGACAGTGGCAAGAAGAACTTGAAAGAAATAATCCATCATTAAATAACAAAGCAAAAGGATTGGACAACCAGTGCTCAAAAACATAAGCATACAGAAACATCTTCCTATGAGCAACAGTGATACTTTACAAACAAAAAAACAGCATCAACAACCAAACCCAAGTTATTTCAGAAATAGGTCAACCAGTAAGTGCCAAAGGGACAGCTTGAAGCTATCATGCAGATAAATCCCAGTTTCGATTCAGCTGCTGTGGTAGAGAGAGAGACAGAGCGCGAGCCAACCTACCTTGAAAGTGAGGTTGGAAGTACAAGTGTCACATTAAAAACAAAATTGAAAGTACTTTGTGGCAAAAAGTCACACCAGAATTTCTGATTACCACATGATATGTAGCCTCTAAGGGCAGTTACAAACATATCTCCAAAGAGCTTTCATATGTAAATAAGGTTACTCAGTTTGTGTTGTAAATATAGCAGACACCTTATTTAAATACACACCTATAAATAAAATTGTGTGCACTTAATTTCAGAGGCCCGTGTGATAGGAAATAAATCCGTGTTCTAGTAACACACCGAAAGCCACAAAGTGAAAGCAATGCTCACTCTGCAATTATATAATTTACCTTTTACTGTGCAGCTGAATTCTTGTCCAATAAAGAGGCTTCATTGGTCGAGAAGGCTCTATCACTTGTTTCCTGCTCCCTTTCTCCTGACTCACACCCATCCCAAATAAACCAGATGGTAACAGAGGAGGAAGAAACCCAGAGACTTGTGGGACTGCTGGGTAGGCGCTGCTCGGAGCTGGTGGTGGAGGAGGTGGCACAGCTCCAGGCAAAGGTGGTGGGGCCAGGGGTGGCATTCCCAGGCCAGGCAGAGGAGGTGGTGGTGGAGGGACACCTGCACCAGGCAGAGGGGGTGGTGGAGGCGGTGGGACACCTGCACCAGGCAGAGGTGGAGGAGGAGGAATAAGGACAGTTGCACCAGGCAGAGGTGGAGGAGGAGGAATAAGGACAGTTGCACCAGGCAGAGGTGGAGGAGGAGGAGGAATAAGGACAGTTGCACCAGGCAGAGGTGGAGGAGGAGGAGGTGGTGGTGGGAAACCTGCACCTGGCAGAGGAGGAGGAGGAGGTGGTGGCGGGGGTGGTGGAGGAGGGAACCCTGCACCTGGCAGAGGCGGAGGAGGGGGAGGAGGGAAACTTGCACCAG